TGGTAATGAAGGACTCCTCCAAAAGGATATGCCTTCACCAACAATCATGTACCTAACTAGGCCAAACGAATATTGACGATTCCCGTGGACTGTTAGGTTCTTCTTTATCATTTTGTGCCCAAACTTCAGTGTCGAAACATGACATCTTACCAAAATTATGTTTCACTTCCCCCGTGAATTAAGAATTTGGTACGGGAGAAAAGAACAGTAGGAATTCTGTGTGTTTCTTGTTTGTCTTTTTGGGTGGGATGCCTTTATTGAACAAGCTGCAAGCAAATGTCAGTGATGAGAGAGCTCAACTGCTAATACAAGTTGCATCAAGAAACCACGAAAAGGATAATTCCAATGGTGATAGAAAAGTTCGTGATTTGCTTATAAAATGATTGTGCGAGATGACCACTTTGACACTGGCCATTTGGATATTCAGGACACCTCCTTACATATCTGAATAGTTGATCTTCTTGTTCATTAGTCCTCCTAAAGAGGGGAAAGAAAAAAAAAGATTGAATATAAAATGGTATTGAGGTTCTGGATTCAATGTTATTTTGACATTTTTATAGCATTTGGGAGATATTTGAAGCATATTTCTATATAGTGACTTCTGATATTGGATATTCTATGTATTTCATTTGGTAGAGTAGACTCGATAGCAGTGTACAATAGTACGGAAGAAAAGAGCTAAAATGTTGTTTATTATATTGTTCAGTCAAATTTCGTAATGCGTATTGAACATTCGCATATTTTTCCGTTATTTTTACCTTCATGTCTAAATGTTGAGACTGACGAGGTTCACTTCTGTAGGGAAAAATGGTCAGCCGTCATCCAACTTAACATGGTTAACCAGGCTGAAAATTGCGAAAGGCATAGCACGGGGCTTGGCCTACCTACACGAATGTAGCCCGAGAAAATTTGTTCATGGAGACGTAAAACCGTCAAACATTCTCCTCGACAATGAATTCCAGCCGTACATTTCTGATTTTGGCCTCAACCGGCTGATTACCATCACGGGAAACAACCCTTCCTCCTCCGGGGGCTTTATTGGCGGTGCGCTTCCATATCTAAAACCAACCCAACCGGAGAAAACCAACAATTATCGGGCACCAGAAGCTCGAGTCACCGATAGCCGACCTACCCAAAAATGGGACGTCTACTCATTCGGAGTCGTCTTGCTGGAGATGCTAACAGGTAAATCTCCAGAGTTTTTGTCCCCAACCACCTCAACATCTACAGAGCTCCCGGATCTCATTAGGTGGGTAAGGAAGGGATTCGACGAGGAAAGTCCGTTGTCTGATATGGTAGACCCCATGTTGCTTCAAGAAGTACGCGCCAAGAAGGAAGTACTGGCTGTATTTCACATAGCCCTTGCATGCACAGAGGGAGACCCCGAGGTTCGACCGAGGATGAAAACTGTTACCGAAGGTCTCGAGAAAGTTGGATCATGAGAAATCGGCATAAATATTGAACTTATTTTGGGATTGCCGAATCTTTTACTAGTGAGCAAAACTTGTCTGCAATTTTGTATTTTTGTCCTAGTAATTCCTGAATGTTTGAACATTCTTTTCGCCAAATTTATCTAATCTTTTAGATTCATTTCCTATTGAGTAGTAATTTGGTTTATACTTTTGTAATTTATGTACTTTCTATCTCTGAAATCTGCACCTTTTCTACATAAATTTGCAGTAGTCTTTCCTTTTAAAATACAAGTTCTCATGGGCTAGTTCGGGAGTGTAAGTCTCAACAGTCGAGCTCAGCCTGAGGCTCTGAGCTTTTCATGTGTGGGGTTACTCGTTTGGCACATTTTTTGACCCCTCGACGTTGCACTTTGACATCTTCTCATGTATTTTAAACAAATTGAAAGAACTATAGTTTTTTTTTTTTTTTGATGGGAACCATTTTTTAACCACTTTAACATTATTTTTTTTGAAAGAACAAATTGAAAGAACTATAGTTGAATGTATATGCTTAACTAGAGAATAACAAACATAGTGTCAGCACTAGGTCCCTGTTTAGTGGAAATAAAAATTATATTTAAATTTTGATAAAAGTTGATAAAAATTCGTGATTGAAAAGTTGTGGGAATCATAAAATATGTGGTTAAAATTAATTGTTGACTTTAATTTAAGATTAAAATCTAGATTTTAAGAATAGAATAATGCTATGTAGCCTCACCGGAATTGCGACATTAATCTTAGTGACGTTAGATGATAGACTAAATGAAGTATGTTATCATTTAATGTCACATCAACGATACCTAAATTGAGATTGCGACCCCAATTGGGGCCAAATAGCATTATATTAAATTTATTACAAAGGATCTACACTGGACCCCCAAATAGTTAGGCCAAATACGACTTCCTGGATACTAAAAGGGAACAATATATAATTACTACACTATAGTTATTGCATTTCAAAACTAACAAATTTGTCATATTATTTCAAAATCTAGGTATTAATCCTAATTAATAATATATAATTAATTAGATTAATTGGAATTAATTATCCTCACCATACCAAATTAATAATATCCCTCTCACCACCAACGAATCCCCACCCATACATATAAATTTTTTTCAAAAATTGGATTTTTTTTTTTTGGAGATTGGCTGTGATCATATGCGTCTAATTTGTGACTGTAAGTAACCAAGTCACATATAGCCACAATTAACATATATTTATTCAAAGACAGTCACAACGAAGTAGACTTGGCCACACCCAATTACGTCGCCATCACCAACCCCAACAACGTCGAGAACCCAACACGCACCACCTCACCTCATCACGACCACATGCACCACCACCAGCAGTAGAAACATCGCTGCCCACTCCACCACCAACAGAATCACCAGCAACAACAGAACCACTCCACATATTAGGATCAAACAACATATTTGATCAAACAATCACTCCACTAAATCAACTTCAAGCCGCTCAACAAATATGCCAACGCTCACCTCTGAAGCAGCTGTGGTGAAAATGGGGGTTAGAAAGGGGTGGGTAGGGTGAGAAGCCACCGCTGCTACGAGAAGTTGTAATACCCAAAAAAAATAAAAAATAAATAAAAAAAATACACACATTAAGGCATAAATGCAAGTTTTGAGATTTTAGGGTAACCTAACAATTTTACCACTTTCTAGGGACCTTATGTTCCTAATAATTCGATATATATGAGTTTTACATGAAATTAAATTTTAATATTATTTTGGATATCTAATTAATTATTATCAAATTATCTAGTAAATATTATTTAGATAAAACTTGAAATTTGCACAAATCTACACTAGACTCTTATCATCATGTAGTTAAATTTTTTTAAAATTTGAATACAATTATAAGTTTGTTTGATGAAAGACTAATTCAAATTTGAATTAAGAATCCTATTAGAATTCTCATTATGTAATTATCCTTATCAAAACACACCCACAAATACCCCCTCGTTGTTGCATTTCCATCCATACAAATTAAGAGAGAGAGAGAGAGAGAGAGAGAGAGAACCCCGATCTACAACACTGCGAACAACAACGACCGATGCTTCGCTGCGTGCAGTGCCCCACGGCAACGACACGCAGTGGCATCGCTCGATCCGCAGTAAATCTATGTCGCATTGCTGATTGGTGCCGATCCTTTCCAAAGATCCCATGTCACGTCGAGTGCGACCCCTCATCGTCGGTGAGAGGATAGAGAGAGGGCGAGACGAGTTAGAGAGAGAAAGAATGGAGAGAGAGAGAGAGAGAGAGAGGGTTTAGGATTGAAATTGTGTATAGTAGATTAATTAATTTTGAATTGTTATATTTAGTAAAAATATTTATTTATGTATTAATTAATTAAAAAACCTCTTATTTTTGAATTAATAAACACGACCTCTGATTTATGAATCGAGATCTTCAAATTTCTTGAATCCTGTAATTTCCGCTAAATTAATGTGGAAATTACACACTTCCCTACTTTTGAAGATCCCAATTCTAAAATCAGATTTCATAGTTATATTTTCAAAAATCAGATATTTTAATATATTGATACATATTTTTTATATTTATTTAAATAGTAATAGTAACATTATAAAATTTAATTTATCAACCCTAATTTCATTTCTCAATCTCCCGCTTTGAAGAATCTCTCTCGTCCCTCTCCACGGCGCCGTCCGCC